CAATTTAAAAATTAATATACATAATTTATATCAACAAAATATTAAATCTAACAATTGATTTTTAAAAATATTTATTAAAGATAATGATTTTAAAGTTATAATTCCTATTTTTTTTTATGAATATTAAATCTGACATGAGCGATTCTCATATTATATTTTAAATTTTAATCTAGCAAATATTTGATTTCTATTTATTTCTCCAATATACAGAAATTTAAATTAGAATAGGTGAAAAGAGAAAATGGTACATCAATGCTGGCTGTTGTAAAGACCGGTAAATGTTCAAAACAAGTAGTTTAGACTTTAGAAGGGAAAAATGTTACACTTTTCTCTTTTTTTTTGGGTGGATACCAAATTACCCACTCATCGAAAAAAAGAGATGATATTTTTGTATGTATATTTATTTTACAGATTCAAAGAATCAGACATTTGATTGTAAAATAATTAGTAGTTTACTGAAATAAGAAAATGTACCTCGCTTAAATGATCGGTGGTTTCTCCTAATGACTCAGAATGCTGAGATAAAGGATGTGCTAACAGAAGACTTCTTCATAGACTGCGTGTAAAATGAAAACCAAAATGCAACAAAGTTAAAAAGCAGAAAAAGAAAACAAAAAATAAATAAATAAACAAAGCTTTTGAGAGAAGAAAACACATAGAAATTTAATTAAAAAATTATACCTGTTGGCATAAAACTTGTGCTTCTTTAATTTGTGGGTTTTGAGAAGATAAAAAAAATGCAGATCGCTGAATATGCACTGGAATTTACCAAAATAATGATGCAATCTGCAAAAGAGAATACATAGCAGCATGAGATGGTAAGTGGATACCAAAATACCCACTCAAAAAAAAAATAAAAAAGGGAGCAATATTATTGTACTTTTTTAATTATACCAAAATACCCACTCAAAAAAAAAAAAAAGGGGGCGATATTATTGTATTTTTTTTATCATTACATATTCAAAAAATGAAACATAAATTAGTCATAAAATAGTTAATAATTAATTGAAAGAAGAAAATGTATTTCGCCTCCAAATGTCCCAGAATGATGAGAGAAAGGAGGTGTTAACAAAAACTTCTTCATAGATTGCGTGTAAAATGAAAACCACAATGCAAATAGAATTACAAAGAAGAAAAGGAGAACAAATATACATATATATAAAAAGCTTTTGAGAGAATAAAATATATAGGAATTTATTGGCCTGAAACT